TATATATATATATATATTTGTTCTAATAAATATAAATTGATTACAAGGTCTTGAAGATCTATGGTTGATTATAGAGATCATGATATAAATTTTAACTTTCCCCTTTTTCTTTTCTTAACACGTGTTATAAAAAAAATTACTACAGTTGAAATTTCAAGTGTTTTCTATGTTATATAACTGAGGAACAATCTCAGCTAAATAGAGCAAGTCAATGACACTATCATTTACGTATAGAAGTTTCACCAAATAGGAGAATGAAATGGGAACAATAATACAATATTATATATTAACAGTAGTGCAGTATTATTAGCAATAGAAAAAAATGGAGAAGACATGAGTATAAAAAAAAATGAAAAACTCACTTGAAAATTCTTAAAGCATTTAAAAAGTCACTTCAACCAGTCCTCTAAAATATGATGGGTTTGGATGAGATTGTTTTATGAATTTGGTATTTATAGATACTGCTAAAAAAATCTTTCAAAATCTCTCCAATACAATAATCCTTTAAAATTTCCTATATTTTTAAATATCAATGAAATATTTTTAAGTTCTAAAAAGTCTTAAATGAATATTAATAGATTTTAATAGACGCTTTAAAACATCTTGAAAATTCAAACTAAATACCATTGGATTGTTTTTAAGTGACATAAAATCCTGATTGAATACTAAGAAATTTTTTTACTCAAAAAAATCTTTTAAAATCCTATAAAATCCTAAATTAATACACCCTCCTAAGAAACTAAATAAATAAAGAAGGTCCCATGCCACGGATGTCACTCTATTTTAATAAGGAAGAAAATAAAAACATTGAACTCCACCAATTTCAGAAAATGACTGTGCCTTAGCATCCACAAGTCTCTCTTTTTCCATATATAACGCAGAGTGAGTTATCTTTCCAAAGAAAACAAAAACGTTTCACACTCACTTTTTTGTTTTCTGGTTCTCATATAATGAGGTGCTAGGGAGTTTCATTTCTTCATTATTGTCTCTCTTTTCATTCTCTTTTTCTGTGCTTTGAAAATGAGTGGGATTCCCGAAGAGCCCGTTTCTCTTGATCTGCTGAAGAAGAAAATGAGTGACTTTGCAAAGGAGAGGGATTGGGAACAGTTTCACAGCCCAAGGAACCTCCTTTTGGCAATGGTATGCTTCTTCTCTTTTAACACCCAAAACTTAATTCAAAGCAATTTCTTTGTTCTAATTGCACATGCATGGTCATCATTTCTTCTATTTCAAGGATACCCACATGTGAATTTCTTATGTTTATTTTTTGTGTACTTTTTAGATCATTTTGTTGAGGGGTTCTGTGTGTCACCCCATGTGAATTTCTTAATTTTATGTACCAAATTATTTTGTTGTGTGGTTGACAAAAGAAGGGTCTCATTGGAATAGACTATAGAGTCATTTTATTTTGTTTTGATCACTTTTGTTCTATGGTGATTGAACATGCATTGACCCAGCCGAGTGTGTTTGTTATCCTCATTTCTGCATCTGGGAACCTTGAATTTTTCTTAAAGTTGGTTCCGTTTAATTCTTTTTAACCTTTATTATTATTATTATTATTATTATTATTATTATTATTATTATTATTATTATTATATACATGTGTATATATTTCGGGTTAAAAGATAAAAATAAATGACTAAATTAAATTTTTGATTTCTTTATTACTTAATTGATTAGATTAATAAATAAGATTAATAAAATATTTTTTTAATAACTTTATTGAATAACTTTATTTTATTTTAATAACATTATTTTATTGTAATTATATTTATAATATATAGTAATAAGACGAAAAGGAATAATATTTTTTCGATAATACTTCGCATGTTATTTTTAAACTTAATGGTCAGCGAAGTCAAATTAACAAACAGTAAGACAAAATTTGTGTAAAATTTTAAATTAAGAAAACTAAATTGTCAATTTTAAATTTGATAGACCATAATTACTGAGTTGCAAAAATAGATAAAATATAAATTAGGGAAAATTAATATTTTATTAAACAATTAATTATATTTTTAAAGAGAACATTTATTACATTAAAATATTCTTTAACAAATGTGGACATGAAAAAATGTTTTAACTGCGTGCCGTTTTATTTTGACAATCATTAATTGTGTGAGGCTACATCTTAAAAAAATTATTAAATTCCAAGGCTTTCGTGTTGCCCATGGTTTGATTTTTATGTTATGCTTCGCTGGGTGGAAAGAAAAAAAAAAGTGAAAAAGGTTTGAAATTTAAATTCAAGATTTTTTAAAAAAGTATTTCTTTTATTTTTATTCATTTTTCACCTAAATAAAATAATATATTTTCTTTATTCTTATATTAAAGAAAATAATTTACAAATAGTTAAAGGTGGCCTGATAATAAAGAATTGAAGTAATATATAGAAAGTTATGATATTGTCAATGTATTTCTAACATATAAAAAATAAAATGATTTTGTCTAATATATCTTCAAATTTGTAATTAAATATACTTTCTCTCTCGTCTCTAAAATTCATCATTTTTTTAAAGTTAAATGAGGTCTAAGTCACAAGTTTTTTTTTTTTAATTTGAAGATTAAATTCATGATTATAAATGTAAAAGGGTACTTTAATTGTATTAGTTTAAATACAGATGCTAAAAGCACTTATTTTTATTGAAAAATACCATTAATATTTTCCAAACCCTAGTAAAATACACTTAATGTGCAATTTGCAAATACATTCCATGCATGTTTTGATATTTATTTTCTTCCTTTTTGATGATTCAACTTGCACAGGTGGGTGAAGTGGGAGAGTTGTCTGAGATATTTCAGTGGAAAGGTGAGGTTCCAAAGGGACTTCCAGATTGGAAAGAAGAGGAAAAGATTCATCTTGGTGAAGAGCTTTCAGATGTGTTGCTTTACCTTGTCAGGCTCTCTGACATGTGTGGTGTTGATCTTGGCAAAGCTGCTCTAAGAAAGGTTCAACTCAATGCTATCAAATACCCCACAAAAGTTTCTCAAGACCCTTCAACCAGCAACTCAACACCAATTCATAATGCAACTCAAGATGCTTGATCATGATCCATTAGTGCATGCATATGGATATTATAGTTTTGCTGTTTTAGTACGAAATTATGGCTTTGGTATATGTTCTTCTATAAATTCCATGGAGGCTAGTATTTTTGGATTGGTTTGCTATTAAGCTCTTTTATTCTCACCTATGTGTTACTGTTTTGGCATATTGTAGCCAATCATATTAGATGAGTCGAATAATACATGAGATTTGGTGAAATGCATGTCTTCGGTCAATCTTGAAAGAATTTGTTTTTGGGTTTTTTTCTCTTAATTTTTAGCAATTGATAAATCAATTTAATTAATATTTATAAGGTAATTATTGTAAAAATTAATAATTTTTAAATTATACTAATTTATGATCAATGCAACTAATGAGAAAACTTTATTTATTTTTTTATTTTTTTTATGTATATATACATTCTATTTTATTAGTTGAAATAAGACCTTTTTAATATAGAAAATGAGACTTATGACTTACATGAATTTCACTCAACAGTTCAAACAAAGAATGTATATTGAAAAAGCAATATTCAAGAGCGTGTTTTAATATTCTTATCCATTTATTTCAGAAAAGGTAAAACAAATTTTGACACCAGAAAAGGTAAATCTTTTCGTATTATTTTCTAATTAGAACAAAAGTTTTATCTTGCTAATTTGTAACAAACATTTAAAACTAAAAGAATATATCAAAATAAGTATGCTTAATAAAGATTTGCATTACTTAACAACGTAAGTTATAAAAGTGAATATATATATATATATATCGTAGGGGGCTTCCCGGAGCCAATACTTAGCTCATCGCTTCGGGAAAGGCCGCACGCAGGTGCGATTGGACCACGTGAGCGCCTCAGCTGACATGAACTCGCTGTGGAGCGCGAGGGTGACTACCGAGAAGTTCTTCCTGCAGGGCTCGCTGAGCTCGGACGACCAGGGGTTGATAAATGAGGTCGGACTTGTGGAAGGCTTTGACGCCGCCCAGGTCTTTCTGTAGAGGACTATGGTGACTGTGGACCAATGGAAGCATAAGTTGTCCAAACAGCAGGCGGACCTGGTTAGGCTTAGGAACCGAGTTCAACCTCTGAGGGACAAGAACAAGGTCCTAAGGGAGGAGAACAAGGTTCTGAGTGCCGCCCTTGGCGAGGCAAAAATGCAGGGGGCCAAGCTTCGAGAAAGGGAGATCTCGCCAGGGTTCAAAAATCGTTGGAGATAGCCCTGCGCTCCAACGAGAATTATGCCTCCCAGGTGAGTGAGCTGCAGGGGCTCGTCGGCTCGTCTCGAGGTCAGGTGCGTCTTTTGGAAGATGAGGTGACGTCTTCCCGGGGCCAGGTTCGCTCTTTGGAGGATGAAGTGATATTTCTGAAGAGCGAGCTGGTGGCAGCGGCTGAGAAGCGCCTCTATGACGAGGTCGTCCTCGGTGGAGGTCGCCTCTCTAAGAGTGGAGCGCAATCCATATTTTTAAACAAATAAAAGAGTCCAACCATCCTTCGCGAATGCCGAAAGCCCGTTTCGGGCCGGTGGCGACAATTACGGATCTCGTCTAGACCTAGATCTCCAAATACGTGTTTTGAGGTCATTCCACGCCGTGATGCTGAGCTCGAGCTCGGCATGGTGGCATGGATAGTACACTAGCCTCCCGAGCTCTGAAGACCGTGGGTCAAGGAGTTAAGACCGAGCTCGTCAAGTGGCTGTGACCCTTCGCGTATGCTTGTTTATCGAGATGTCGTGTGTCGCAACTGGTCATTTCTCGAAAACGTGCAAGTGGCGCGTTAATGGGAGTGACGGTTATGTAATGATGGTTTGCCTTTGTCATAATGATTCTCAATTAATGTGTCGTCAGATGTGCCCCCTGACTGACACGTGTCATGATCGTTTTGAATATCGGAGGAACCCTTTTCATTCACTTACGCCTCTTCCCTTTTCACTTTACTCATTTTTCGCTCTTTCAACTTCTTGCGCACGCCGCTTCTCTCGCTTCTATTTGTCTTCTCTATTTCCGTCGCCATTCCCGGCAACTAGGTTCTGCTTCTTCCTTATTGCTTCTTTCTTTTGTCAAAGGAGTACCAGGTACTTCGATTTCTCTGTTCTCTCTTTTTTCTCGAATCTTCTCCTTCTTTGAGTCTTTCTTGTTTTCTCTATGGCTGGAGAGAGTGGTGCTAGATCCTCCGCGCCTGCCAAGGGTAAAGGTAATGCGCAAGGCAAGGCGGTGGCTACCGGAACGGCTGAGTACGCAACAGACATTGAACGTGTGTCTCAAAACGTGCAAACAGGAAAAAATCAAGCCTAAACGCAAAGGCAAAGAAAAGCGCAATGGCAAATAGACAAAAAATACATATATACACAACCATGTTTTCAAAGTTCCACACTTGATGTCAACAAAAAAATAAAGCAGAGAAGATTAAACTAGGCTATTACACATTTAGCCTACGCAGAGGCATTCTCGCTGGAGCTGTCCTCGACGTCATCCTCCTTTACCAGCTTGCCGAAGCGGACAACCTTCTCCACGTGCATGGCAGAGAAGTCGAACCCCAGGGCAAGAAGCCTCGCCTGGCAAGCTGCCTTGAGAAAACCCCGCTTATGCTCAAACAAGACAGACCGGTTTCCTCTAGCTTCTTCTCCAGCACCGCCCTCTCCGCCTCCAGCTTCACCAGCTCCACTCTTAGAGAGGCGACCTCCACCGAGGACGACCTCGTCATAGAGGCGCTTCTCAGCCGCTGCCACCAGCTCGCTCTTCAGAAATATCACTTCATCCTCCAAAGAGCGAACCTGGCCCCGGGAAGACGTCACCTCATCTTCCAAAAGACGCACCTGACCTCGAGACGAGCCGACGAGCCCCTGCAGCTCACTCACCTGGGAGGCATAATTCTCGTTGGAGCGCAGGGCTATCTCCAACGATTTTTGAACCCTGGCGAGATCTCCCTTTCTCGAAGCTTGGCCCCCTGCATTTTTGCCTCGCCAAGGGCGGCACTCAGAACCTTGTTCTCCTCCCTTAGGACCTTGTTCTTGTCAGTTCCAAATAACAAGATTTAAAATTCCAAAGTCCAAAATTTCAAACTAACTAATGGTGTCAAAGAGGGAATCTCTCCCTAGCATCACCTTTTTCGCTAGCTTTTTGTGAATAATTAAATTTATTTGGTATATATTTAAAAAAACCTAAAAATAAAAGGAAAATAAAAGTGAAGGTGGTTACAAGCTGAATAAGTGGAATGAGAGATTATAGAAAATAAGGGTGATATGGCATAAAGGAGGAAATAAAGCAGTCATGTGACAATTGAAAAAAAGGGATTATCAAATAGGATTGGTTAAGAATAAGGAGGGGATTAGATAGTGATAAATTGATTACAAACTAAGAGAGCTTATAAAAGATTTAGATATCCAGCAAAAGGGAGGTGAATTGAGAGAGGATACAAAAGGAAAGGAGTTTTCTTTCGAGTGATAACTATTACGTGCAATTGTTTATGGGCGACTACAACAAATCAATTTCGTAACTTTGGGGAGGTGCGTAGTGTTGGGATGATCGTTCAAACAACAGGTATTGCGTGATTCATGGATTCATCTGCTATATATTCCGAGATTTATCAAAGTTTTAGTTTTCATTTTTTAGCTTTTATCTCTTTCGTTGAGACATAATTTGATTTTGTCAGTAGAAGTATTATATTTCTTGACAACTGCATACTTAATAATTATAGTGCCACCTGATATTTTTGTTTCCCCAATTCCTTTTATTTTATTTTTTCTGAAATTGATTACTTGCATTCGCATGAATACTTCATCGATCAATACTTGGTTTCATATTAATTACTCATATACTATAAATAATGGTCTCGTAAAAGCTTTGTATTCATCATTACCCAACCTTCTTTCTTAAAAAAAAAAAAAAAAAAAAAAAACCCAACACTTTTTGGAATTCATCATATTACTTTTTAATAACAAACATTAGATTTTAAACTACTATTCCTATTCAATAAATATTCTAATCTGTCAATAAATATTCAATAAATATTCTAACAGTAATTTTTAGTATAATAAAAAATGTATGATCACAAATATGGATCGCGCAAACAGATAGTTTTATTTGCCTGTTTTAGGAATAAAACAAATAATTGAGAAAAATTGTTAACACGTGAATTGTGACACCCTTTACCCCAACATACATATACAGTAATTATGGACCTGGTTAGGCTTAGGAACCGAGTTCAACCTCTGAGGGACAAGAACAAGGTCCTAAGGGAGGAGAACAAGGTTCTGAGTGCCGCCCTTGGCGAGGCAAAAATGCAGGGGGCCAAGCTTCGAGAAAGGGAGATCTCGCCAGGGTTCAAAAATCGTTGGAGATAGCCCTGCGCTCCAACGAGAATTATGCCTCCCAGGTGAGTGAGCTGCAGGGGCTCGTCGGCTCGTCTCGAGGTCAGGTGCGTCTTTTGGAAGATGAGGTGACGTCTTCCCGGGGCCAGGTTCGCTCTTTGGAGGATGAAGTGATATTTCTGAAGAGCGAGCTGGTGGCAGCGGCTGAGAAGCGCCTCTATGACGAGGTCGTCCTCGGTGGAGGTCGCCTCTCTAAGAGTGGAGCTGGTGAAGCTGGAGGCGGAGAGGGCGGTGCTGGAGAAGAAGCTAGAGGAAACCGGTCTGTCTTGTTTGAGCATAAGCGGGGTTTTCTCAAGGCAGCTTGCCAGGCGAGGCTTCTTGCCCTGGGGTTCGACTTCTCTGCCATGCACGTGGAGAAGGTTGTCCGCTTCGGCAAGCTGGTAAAGGAGGATGACGTCGAGGACAGCTCCAGCGAGAATGCCTCTGCGTAGGCTAAATGTGTAATAGCCTAGTTTAATCTTCTCTGCTTTATTTTTTTGTTGACATCAAGTGTGGAACTTTGAAAACATGGTTGTGTATATATGTATTTTTTGTCTATTTGCCATTGCGCTTTTCTTTGCCTTTGCGTTTAGGCTTGATTTTTTCCTGTTTGCACGTTTTGAGACACACGTTCAATGTCTGTTGCGTACTTTTATACTTTGTGATACTCAGACTAAGTTTCAAGGCGGAGTGGATTGTGCTACGGTTCAAACTTGACCTTGAGTTGATCATGCCGAGGTTCGAGCTTGACCTCGGATTTTTGCTAAGTAACTCTCGTGAGGGTTCGAACTCGACCTTGAGTTAATTATGCCAGGGTTCGAATTCGACCTCGGATTTTTGTGAAGGTTCGAACTCGACCTTGAATTAATCATGTCGGGGTTCAAATTCGACCTCGGATTTT